CATGCTCGGTGATTCATGAGCACAAAGGTTTCAATGTGAGGTTTTGTACATGCTCGGTGATTCGTGAGATTAGAAAATAAATTTAGTAGCAGGTTTTAGAGTTGCACGTTATTGCCTTGAAACAACTGTTGCATTTATTCCATGGCCATTGGCCTCGACTTGAAACAATTATTTAAAGGCAGTGGAGTTTAACTCTTTTAGCACTTGGCCTCGTACTAACACCTTTGAGCATGACAAGCAAGCATAACTTGCAAGCGGTCTATATATTTTTCGATGTTCAAGGATTCTCGGGGAATATACCGTCGTCCTCAGGGCTCCATAATCGGTATTGTTGTCTRAAGTATGCCTGTTGATTGTCTGGAATTGTGTTGTAAGACTGGTCATCTGGGATGTCACTTCTTTGTTGGATTGGCTGTGGTGCTGTGTCCGAGGAGGACTGGATATTCATGAATTGAGCGAAGGGATCGCTGGCTGGTGCTGCAGGGAGAGTGTCTTTCTTGGTTGCATCAACTTGTGGCTGTGCAGGAGCAAAGTTGGCTGCATTCGATTGTTGGTTAGGATCCTGAGCCTGAAAGAGAATAAGCAAGGAAATCATCGTTCGTGGTTAAAAAACGCCCCAATATTAATTTTAGCTTGAGACAACCCATGACTCATACCTATTATGGCTTGAGGGCTAATTGCTAATAGGATGTTTGCATGATGACACCATTGTCCTCTACTACCAGACTCCCTCGCACACTTTATTTTCAGTTAATAAGCCTTTTCATAGTTTAAGAATCGATTCCACTACGCATGCGATTTTATCCCGAATTTCTCACCTTCTTTTGTTTAATTAAGAACAAAAGAAGGTTTAGACAAAAGAAGGTGAGAAATTCGGGATAAAATCGCATGCGCAGTGGAATCGATTCTTAAACTATGAAAAGGCTTATTAGCACCAATTGTCTTTCTATTCTCATGAGGGAATACGAATCCTTAATTGAGAAACAAAAATTTGCGAAGCATCTTGGTAGTGGGAGTCAATTGACGCCATCATGCAAACGTCCTATTAGTCCTCATGGCCTATACGAGGCAATAGCCCATTCAGGCTTGAGGACTAATTGGTGTTTTTGTGATACCTGTGGTGCTGCGGGGATATTGCTTCGTGCATAGTAGTTGTAGTTTTGCTGTACTGGGGCTGCTTGGTTATACACAGTGTTCTGAGAGAAAGCTGCATCAGTCTGAGCAGGTGCTGCCTGTGCCTGGTCCAAGGTACTTTGGTCTAAATAAGTGGTTAAGAACGTCAACTTTGATTTATTTAAGTGCCTATAAAACCTAACTCAATATTTGCAGTATCGATTATACATGATGTGGATAGTTAAAAGCAAAAATATTTTTATATGATTTGAGTAATAATCATCCTGGAGATATCAAGGTTTTTACTTGTACTTCAGTCCAACATGCTAATTTGATACATCAATTCTGCTATAGGCCTCTACCTTTGCCGGGGCATAATGTCTTCATTTGAGACCATGTGTCATTCTCTATAGTATCATTTCTTCGTTTAACAGTTGTGCATGAATGTTCCCTAGAGAGGTTACAGTTATTTGATTTCAGTTATTTAGATACCTTGACTCGGATAGTAGGATGCTGTTTGCTGTTGAGGTACACTAGTATCCATACTTTGCTGTGTATTCACAAAATCACCTGTTGGAACCTCGCTCTTCTTCTCTAAAAATCAAAGTTGCATAAATTTATGAATGAGGCTTGACATAAACGTATGCCCGTGAAAATTACTGATTTTATCTTAGATCTGAAAGTATTAGTCTCCTATGCAGCGCTATTAGTGTCGTCACGCCACGCTCACTCGATCCCCTACTTAGGAGAGTGAGCGTGGCGTGACGACACTAAGGCCCTGGCTAAACGAGGAAACATGTTTTCTTAAATGTTTCCAAAGGTGGCAAAACTGTCAGGGAACATCGGGAAACATGTTTACTCAATAGCACAGCATTAACATTTTTGCGTCTTAGAAGCAAAATTTGTTGCACAAAGCAATGTTTCGCATGTGGCTAAACTTGGAATCATCGGGGAACATGCGCGCGGGAAACATGTTTCTGGAAACTCGTTTCCTCGTTTAGTTAGGACCTTATAGCGGCTGCGTAGGAGACTATAAGTGTTAGTAGTTTAATAGACGTTAGTAAATTGAATGGCAATGGATTGGTTTACTATTAGTGTTGTTTTTGGTGGTGCCTATTTTTCTCTTTCAAATCTTTCTCTTTGTGATATCGCTTGTCATTTATTCGTTTCTTGTTCAAATAAGTACTTAGTTATAATTATGTAATATTTTATTTTACGGCTTGATTCTTTGCTTGCTTGTGTGCTTATTTATTCGTTCGCTCGTTCGTTCGTTCATTCATTCATCTATTTCTTCATTCATTTCTTCATTCATTCATTCATTTATCCATTTCTTCATTCATTCATTCGTTCATCCATTTCTTCATTCATCCATTCATTCATTCATTTATTTATTTGATTTTTTTGCTTGTTTGCACAACTATTTGTTAGGTCAACTATTCAATTGTTTAGTTATTAGTTCGATTAATTAATTGTTTGTTTAGTTTGTTTCCTTCGATTTTGCTTGTTTTCTCGTTTGATCAATGAATGTGAATGATTGTCAAAGGGGTTGAAAAAAAGGTCTCTATCATTGCAAGCTCACCGTTCGTCTCGCTTCGATGCAAAGGCAAGGCTACCTTTCAAGATGGCGCAGGGAACTGTGAAGGGGACTATTGGTTTCAGTTGTTTGTTCAGTTGTTTTATGTTGTTTTGTTCTGTATTTGCATTGTTTTTTTACTTGTAATGTGACACAGTGTAAGTTCACCTTCTTTATCGTTGTCATTATCACTATCACTATCGTCATTCTGTACATCGTCTTGTGCGGTATATTTCAGTGCTTTCCTGAAAAAGTCTTCATTGCTTCCATCGTTGCTCTCGTATTTAGAGGTGATGGATGGCTCACCTTATATAATGTTAGTTTAAATCAAATTATTGTTAGCATAATTAGTATTAGTAGACTATTTGTTATTGTTATCGTTAGTGTTCAATATTTAAGGTTATTACTCAATAGATTAATTGTTAAATTAACAGATCAAAAACAGTTTTCCGTATTTGATACTCTGATCAAAACACGCGGGATGTTGGGAAAACACGAGAGGAGCGTAGGAAACCACGACGCGAAAAGATCGAAAAAAGCAAAGTCTAAGTAAATTCTCCCTACTTGCCGTCTTATTCAAACTGACCAATGAGCGCGCGCGATAGATTAAAAATGACGATAGCGTGTTTTGATACTCCCATCAAACATGGTTTTCGACCAATCCTAGCGCGCGTAGTATACCAATTATTTTATAAAGTTGTATCAATACACTAGACTTGGACACGCCCATAAATCAACAAATAGAAAACGAAAATTCGAGTTAAGATTTTTCGATTCACGAAGGCTTGAATATGACCAAGAGAGCTCTCTTGATATGACTGAAGCCATTTTAGAAAAGATTCTACATGAAAGCGTGAGAAAGTTGGCAGTTTCTATTTGACACTGGAATTAAATACATCCTCTCAGCACATCAAATTGCTTCGGGGTTCAGTAATGATACATCTTGAAGCAGAAAAAAGTGTTTTGATAAACCCACCCCCTGTTTATAAATGATAATTATAATAAATCCGAAGCCA